GTATAGTGAGTGCCAATGTTAATGAGTCGACAATGTATGTTACACAGGAACTACACATAAAACAAGGTTATGTATTGATCAGTTAATGAAAATGTGACCAGAAGTTCAGATGAACCTAATGTATATTTCCCTTAGGAGCAGTGTGGTTCAGTAGTGTTCATTAATTCAGTGTTTATTGTGACTTTTTAGACTATAACTACCATGAATAGCACAAATGAATTGTATTTCATTCTTACCAAAACAGTGGAAAGACTGCACAAAATAACAGTTTTTATTCCTGTGATACTGTGATTGATAATAAGAAATATACTATATTTGGAGTTTGCTCCTAAAATACTTGGAATTTTCTAAGTGATGAGAATGACAAAGGCACCTTTTGTAATGTTAATAGTGACTTTTGATTTTTGTTGTTGTTAATCCTCACCAGAGGATATTTTTCCATTGATTTTTAGAGAGACTGTAAGAGATGGGGAGAGACAGAAAGAGAATGAAACATCGATGTGAGAGAGACACATTGATTGGTTGCCTCCCACACGCACCCCCATGGGGCCCAGGGATTGAACCTGCAACCAAGGTACATGCCGTTGACTGGAATTGAACCAAGGGCTGACGTTCTAACCACTGAGCAAAACCAGCCAGGGCTTAATAGTGACTTTTGGATCACACTTAAAGAAGGGAGCAATTGTCAGAGAACCAACCATGTGATTAGAGGGTTGTAACTTTTAGTCCCACCCCCCCTGACCTCCAGGGAGGGAAGAGGGGCTGGATGTCCAATCTATTGCCAATAGCCAATGATTTAATTAATCAAGCTTACGTAATAAAGTCTCCATAATACCCATAAGGGCAGTATTCAAAGAGCTTCTGGTTGGTGAGCCAGAGTGCTTTTACCACGAGGATAGCTATAAGCTCCTTTTCGTATCCTTTAATAACCTTCATAATAAATCAGTAATTTAGTGCGTAAGCTGGTTTTCTGAGTCTTGTGAGCCGCTCTAGCAAATTAATCAAACCCGAGGAGGTGGTTCTGGGAGCCTCTGATTTATAGCCAGTCTGTCAGAAGCAGGCGTGACAATGTGGACTTGCAATTGGCATCTGAAAGAGCTGGTAGTCTTGTGGGACTGAGCCCGTAGCCTGTGGAATCTGATGCTCTCTCCAGGTAGCTAGGGTCAGGATTGAGCTGAGTCATAGGACACCCAGGGGTGTCAGAGAATTGTTTGGTGGGATAGCAGTGCCGCACATGCTACATCTGGTGATCAGAATTTTTACATCCACTTCTTGATTTATTTTCAGCATAAGTGGTTGACTAATACAAGGAAGTGACAGAAGTAAGATGGGTTTCCTTGGTCACTTGTGTCTCTTAGAATACCATTGCCTTCTTTCTGTGACACCGACTTATTGACTGGCTTAAGACTCAGAGTTTCTCCTGTCACTATAGGCCCGCAGCGCACAGGAAAGCTGGAAGGGACAATAAAGCTCCAAGACGCTAAGGCAGTGTTCAGGGAGGAGACATGCTAGCGAGAGGGACAGCGAAATCTTGTCTTTTCCTCGCCATCAGAGGACGCGTGACAAAGAGGGAGGGAGAAGACTTAGCAAACCTATATTTCACACGACACAGTATTAGAAATGAGGTCACACTCAATGTAACGTAAGTCTGAATAATTCATTCACTGTATTTAACTAATTAAGGAATCATAGTTGATTAGTTATTTTTGCATCTATTTTCTCATCCTGATCTTGAAAAGTAACCAGAGCTCCTTGGAGAAATGGCTGGTTCTAGGGCTGGGGCAGAGAATACACAGGTTGAGCTTGACCATCTTATAGAAAAGAAAAGAAAACTAGAGAGGGTGAGGGGGAGAAAAGACAAGAAAAGATGAGGGCATATCCAAGGAACCAACTGAAAGAGCTCCCAAAGACAAAGCCAGAACAGTAACATTTTTAACATTATTTAACATGATCAGGCATATGAGGTCAGATAATTACTGCACTTGGGCATTCAATTGAACTCAAAACATCCTGGCAACTAATGTGAGAAAATAAAACTATCAAGGAAGAGAAAGAATTATAATTTAATAGAAAGTCTTTCATCCACTTCTTTGTAAAAATTCTCAGAACAAGAAATAAACAGAAAGGGGCCAGGTAGGGGCCACAGGAGGGCTTCAGAGTATGTCTGGCCTTGTCTCACTCAGTCTTGATCTGCCGGACTCCAGCAGCAAGCTAACCTATTGGTTGGAGTGTCTGCCCCCTGGTGGTCAGGGCACGTCATAGCGAGCGTTGAGCAGCCTTAGCATATCATTAGCATATTATGCTTTGATTGGTTGAACGGATGACCGGACGACTGCACACTTAGCATATTAGGCTTTTATTATATAGGATTACAATTACAATATAGTATTAATGGAAGAGTGCATATAAGTGTAACTGTCTTATTGGGGTATAAATATGAGTTGGCTTTATTTTTCCCAGGATCTGTCCCCCAACTGTGGTAGTGTGAACTTCCCTTTCCTATTAGGCGGTAGCTTTCTTGACAACTTATTTTGATCCCATAACTTTTCATCCCCTCTTGGTTATAAGAATTCCCTCATGCCAATACTTAAGATTCAATTCTGTCCAATCTCTGTTCTCACATTTGATACAAACCCTCCCATACTTGACTGGGCTGCCATACTCTCTATGTGGCTGTTGTTGCTTTCCTGGCCATCAACACCAGGTTGGCACCGTGTCCTCTGTTTGGCTGGAATTTAAATGCTGGCCACTTATGGGGTGAATCTGAGAGCCCTGAATGTAGTCATGAGCTGTGGATATTTATTTTATTCTTTTTTATAAATTTATATTATAATTACTTATTTTTATTGCTTAAACTGTTCTAGCTTTGCCTTTGGGAGCTCTTTCAGTTGGTTCCTTGGATATGCCCTCATCTTTTCTTGTCTTTTCTCCCCCTCACCCTCTCTAGTTTTCTTTTCTTTTCTATAAGATGGTCAAGCTCAACCTGTGTATTCTCTGCCCCAGCCCTAGAACCAGCCACTTATCCAAGGAGCTCTGGTTACTTTTGTTGAAGAGTTTTAAGGACTCATGCCCTTAAAACCCCAATGATATTTAGAAACCAAGCTCTGAGCACTAAGTGTGTTCATTGTTATTGGGGTGACATCACATCTAGACCCTCAAGTGGACAGAGCTAAGGAATGTATAAACACTAGCCTATGTATACACACATATCTATATTGAGTTCTATATCCATTTATTTATATTAAGATGAACATGAGTTCAAACTGTACCCCAGCTCTAATCCAGAGTTCACTGGAGCCTTTCCTACTTGCTTATGTGTTACTTCTTTCTCTGATAGTTAGAAACCTGTCTCTCCTTATCTACAATATATTTACTTGTTTAACCTTAGTATACTGTATACTTAAAGTAGTTTCAGAATTGCTAACCTAAACTTCTGTGAAATACAAATTTACCAACTAGAGGATAGTGTTTTTGTAGCATTCTTTGTGTTTTTATCTTACGGTTTTAAGTAAAAACATTGTTTTCCAAAATTAATTAGGCCAGCTCTTTCTCCCCCACCCTCTATAGTGAGGTTATGTCACATATTTGTAATATAGTTAGATTCGTTTGTCACAAACTGCATTCCATCATGGGTTCCCCTGAAAGCCTGGTTAATTTTTTAAATTGCATGCAATAAAGGTCACTGTACACTATAGCTTTTTACATTTTGACAAATACATAGAGTTATGTATCCACCATCACAGTATCATAGAGACAGCTCCATTACTCTAAAAATTCCTTTGTAGTAAAATCCCTCATTCCCCAAACTTCCCATCCACTAATCTATCTCCCATCCCTATAGTTTCACCTTTTCCATATGTTATATAAATGGATCCTACAATAAGTAGATGTTCAGGTCTAGCTTCTTTCACATAGAGAAATGCATTTAAGATTTGTCCCTGTTGTTGCATGAACCAATAGTTCATTCCTTTTTACTGTTGAGTATATAGTAGATAGTCATTGTATGAATATACCACAGTTTATCCATTCACTTGTCGCAGGACATCTGGGTTATTTCTAGTTTGGGGCAAATGTGAATAAAACTGCTGTAAACAGTCATGTATGTTTCTTTTTGTGTGTGTGAACACAAGTTTTATTATTTATTTAAAATATCTTTTATTGATTTTAGAGAGAGGAGGGGAGAGGGATGGAGAGATAGAAACATTGATTGGCTGCTTCCTGCATGCCCCCAACTGGGGATGGAGCCCATAACTGGGGCATGTTCCCTGTCTGAGAATCAAACTGTGACCTCCTGGTTCATGGTCTGATGCTCAACCTCTGAGCCACACTAGCCAGGCTGAACACAAGTTTTCAATTCACTTGGGTAAATGCCTAATAGTGGAATGGCTGGGTCATATAAGTAGTTTGTAAGAAATTGCCAAGTAGTTTTCCAAAGTGGATGTTATGCTTTGCAATCCCATCAGCAGTGAGTAAGAGTTCCTGTCCTCCCACATCTCCAGCATTGGTTGTCCATCCTCATTTTGAAGTGGAAACTGACCTGCACCCCCACTCTGACTTCTCCCTTCCTGTTGGCCCCTGCTCATTCTACAAAACAGTCTGCATTTTTGCTTTGCAGTCTGCTGGTACTAGCGAAGGTAATGACTTTGTTTTTTTAAAAATATATTTTTATTGATTTTGGAGAGAAAGATAGAAACATCAATGATGAGAGAGAATCATTGATCAACTGCCTCCTGCAGACTCTCAACTGATCGAGCCCACCACAACCTGGGCATGTGCCCTTGAGTGGAATCGAACCCGGGACCCTTCAGTCCTCAGGCTGACGATCGATCCATTGAGCCAAACCAACTAGGGCAGTGGTTGGCAAACTGCGGCTCGCGAGCCACATGCGGCTCTTTGGCCCCTTGAGTGTGGCTCTTCCACAAAATACCACGTGCTTTTTTGTACAGTGCGATTGAAACTTCATGGCCCATGCGCAGAAGTTGGTTTTCGGCCTGGGCGAGTCTATTTTGAAGAAGTACTGTTGATATTTGGCTCTGTTCACTAATGAGTTTGCCGACCACTGAGCTAGGGCATGAAGGTAATGATTTTAGACTACTTTATATTTCCAGTGTGCACTAAAGTACTCTCTAATTTTTTTTTAAAATCTCTTAATAGTCCTAAAAGGCAGTTTAGGAAACATCCTTAGGTTGGTATGAGAGATCACGGCCTGTTTGAGAAGAATTTCTTTCTGGCTTTCCCAAACCTCTGCTTTTGTAAACCCTCTTAGCTCCCTACTCATCTCAGCCTCTTTGTAGTCTAACCAGATAAATCCACTGAAAAAAGGATGGTCAAGGGTCTTCACTTGGCTGTGGCAGGAGAGACTGGTACCCGTGGCTTTCTAGCTGGGTGGGAAGCCCTCAATTCCACAGGAAGGGACATGCGTCTTCTTCCTGCTCAGCGTCACCGCCTCCTACCGTGGCAGCCAGCACAGTGTCATCATCCCCGGAGCCCTGGTTTGACACCTCTCCTCCACGTTTCATCTGACGGCTCTCACTCTGTTCGGATGGCTGATAGGCCCCATAATCCCCTGAAACCAGGAACCTCCCTGATGGCATGACCAGGGGGCCATGAGTCTCTGTACCCTCTGTCCTGCCCTCCACACGGCTTGTGTGTGAGGCTGTCACTCCTTCCGCCAGCTGCTGGCTTCCATTGGGACCTGCTGGTGGGACATTTTCATAATCTGGGCAGCACTGAAAGGACATCCAGGGCTGCTCCCCCTGGGTGGCCCCCAGGTCCAACTCTGCCGTGTTGACGTAGTCGTTTGAGGTCTGAGAAGAGCCTTCCTCATCGCTGAGTGGATCGTTGCCCTCAGTTCCTGGAGGCAAAAATCGGGCGTAGTCACTGGCATGGTCCCAGCCCTTGTCTCTTTCCTCGGTGGATTCCAGCTCCCGAGCACTTGGGCGGGCAAAGAGGTTCCCAGTGGGGTGGCTGGGAGAGGCCAGCAGCTCAGCAATCTCTGCTGCTGTGGAGACATTGACGTAGTCTCTGGAGTCCTCTGAAGAGACGCTCAGGTCGTCTCCAGCTGCTCTGACGTGGACGGAGGGCGCCGAGGGAGTGAGGTTCTCATACATCCAGGGCCCCGTGGCGTTGTCGTAGATGCCCACGGAGTGAGCCTGGGCTCTGTGCACCTGGAGGGCATGGCTGGCTTGGGAGGTCTGCGTGCAAGAAGAGAAAGCCAGGGACAGGGCAGAAGCAGAAACAGGGACGAAGCCTTTCCTCTTCCCCACCCAGTACTTCCATCGGATCGTTCCTCCACCCAGTTCTCCACCTCGGAGAAGAGTTCTGAATCAAATACAAGACTGCCCTGGCCGGTTTGGCTCAGTGAGTAGAGCGTCGGCCTGTGGTTCCTCTCTCTTCCTCTCTGAAATCAATAAAAATATATTAAAAATGAATAAATAAATTAAAAAAAATACAAGACTTTGGATGCTTGGTGGGCATGAGCAGAGTTTAGGGAAAGCAAAAATGTAATGTGACAATAAACAGTAACTGTATTTTGGCCACAAGGTGGGGGTTCAATGGAGGAAATACTATAAACAGGACAGAGCCTGCCAGCTCAGAGCACACTGAGGGGTAATATAGCCTAGTGGCTAAAGGGGGAGCAGGCCCAGACTGAGGGTACAGACCCTAGCCTCACCCCTCTGAATACTCTCCTTGCAACCTCAAAGGCTGGCCCCCACTTGAGCAAGTTACCTACTCTCTCCATGCCTCTCTTTCCTAAGTAATAAAACGGGGATGATTATAGTATCTATATTATAAGCTTTCTGTGAGGAGTACATGGGTTGCGGCAGGCGAAGTGTTTAGAATTGCTCCTGCCACACAGAAGACACGAGAATGCTTGCCATTATCACTGAAGGGGTTGAAGGGGCAGCTGGCACAGACCCAGCTGATTACGGCCATATAGGGATGCTGGTCTGATGTTTCCAGAATTTCTGAGTTTTCGAGAAAAGCTGGACATCTGGGCTTGAATGTGAGATCTTTTAGATTTTTAAATGTTGGCAACTGGCTTAAATGTTCTTCCAACACGACAGAGCCCAAGCTAACCACGCCTGTGGGCTGAAGTCAGTTCGGGATCGAAGCTCGGGATGCAGAATCCCCCCAGGACCCACCCACACCGTGGAACTAGCTTTGGCAATGGAGTTTCTCTTCCCTGCCCTGTGAGTGGAGTCCAGCATGGGCCTTGCAGGAGGGGGAGGTAGCACAAGCGGTGACATGGAGGTAGCCGCAGGGTAAAGGGAGGCTGGGTACCGACAGAAACACCATCAGCAGCGAGACGGCATTTACTCGAGATGACCTTAAAACCAACGAGACAGGCTCTTCAACAAGCAAACAGAACTTCTCTCTGGGAATGAGCATCCTGACCTTCGGAGCAGTCCCTCCCCTGTCCCTGCCTCTGCCCCACACCACGCAGGACCCCTCGCCCTGGGAGCTCCCGTCAGCCACAGCGTAAGCCACAAGGGGTTGCTGTTACTAATTATAACACACTCCTTGCAACCTCAAAGGCTAGCTCCCATTGGGTCAAACACTTTGGAAACGAGCTATAGTTCTCAATGATTTATGACTATTACTGCTGGTGGGGAATCATTGAAATAATGTGACAGGAGCTCCAGAAGTAATCCCCAAAGCAGGCTTTTAAGTCTGCTTTGAGCACCAACAGCAATGGGGACTATCTATGACCCTGCTGAGGCAATGGCTTCGAAGAGGAGGCTCGTTTGAATAAGCATGTTACCATGTCTTTGTTCAAACAACCCATTGCAGTTCTAACATCAGGCCCTGGAGGACTCATGCCCTTAAAACCCCAAGCTCTTGCTCATCTTTCTGAATTTTTCTCCTGGGGCAGCAGGAGGTCCTGAGGCGAATCTTCCTGATCTAATAGGGCTGCCAGGGTTTGTATGCAGGGACACAAGATCTGGGGCCTAGAGTTCTTTCTCCTCCGTCCTGGGGCCAGACACAGGCAATTTCTCCCAAGGGCCGGTCGTCCCACGTGACTTACCACGTGTGCGGAGGGAGGGCTGTCAGAGTTTCTGGAGAGGAGGCTCTCGATACTGAATACACGGAAACTCCTCAACTGGTGTCTCCCTGGGAAGGACAGAGGACAGAGCCGGATGGTGTAGCCCAGTGGTTCTCAACCTTCCTAAAGCCGCGACCCTTTAATACAGTTCCTCATGTTGTGGTGACCCCCAACCATAAAATTATTTTCGTTGCTACTTCATAACTGTAATTTTGCTACTGTTATGAATCGTAATGTAAATATCTGATCTGCAGGATGTATTTTCATTGTTACAAATTGAACATAATTAAAGCATAGTGATTAACCACAAAAACAATATGTAATTATTTATGTGTTTTCCAATGGTCTTAGACGACCCCTGTGAAATGGTCGTTCGACCCATAGGTAGAAAACCGCTGGTGTAGCCAGTCCTGGCTTCAGCCTGCACACGCCCCACATGGTGGGTGAAGCGGGCCTGTGTGGTGCCTGGCATGTGGGGGCTGGTGTTCTGTGGCGAGAGGGTCCGAGCTGTAAGGATGATGCGCCCTGAGGCCTGGGGCCCTCCTCAGCGTCTGGGGCACCAGAGAACACCAGCCCAGGGGTGGGGGGCTGGGAAGGGAGCGCCTGGTGTGAACCCTCCCTGCCTGGAATGCTGGTGGCCACAATCTCTGTTTTTCAGAATGTCTTCCCCATCCCCATACTCACCCATCTGTCCTCCGCTACCTTAACATCAGGAAGAACCAAAACCCCAACCCTAGAATGTGAGTCAAGGTCTGTTTAGGTCCAAAGACCTTACTCTTGCCACTGCTGGAAGCTTAGAGAAAGTTGCTTCCGGGTGGTGAGAGGTGCGTTCTGGGGGCAGAAGTTCTGTAGGTCTGGACTCCATGCATTAGAAGGAAACACCTACCTAGCACTCCTTGCCTCCGGGGCACGAGGTCATAAATATTTTTGGCTCGTTGTCTGGACGGAGGCAGAGTCAGCAAGGGCGCCGTGGTAACCCGCCGGTAAGGAACTCGCCCTGCAGGGCAAGGACACAGAAGGGGGACCCTGGGGATGAGATGGCCCCACCCTCCCCCTGCATCATACAAAATACCCGTCCAGACTGGACAAATGCCATTTGAGCTACAGGGACAGGGGACTCCGTTGACAGCAGGGAGAGAAAGCAGGGCCCAGGGGTAGGAGAGCAGTGACTTTCAAGACTGATCTCCAATCTCGCCAACCAGCACTAAGCCTTTTGGACCCTGAGGGAGGCAAGGACCAGCATGTCTGATAAGGACTCCTTGCGCAAATAGTTTACCCCCGGAGAATAAACCTGGCTTCAAATGCCCGGCTAGACGATTGGCCCTTATGTGTCTCAACTTTGGACACACGGGGGACTCACGCTTCTTCCGTGTAGTCCAGTTCCACAGGACGCAGAGCACCGCGATGACCAGGAGGATGGCAAGGAGTCCCGCCAACCCAGCGAAGATGCTGCTGCTCTGGTCCTGATCCCTGCAAGGAAACGGAGTGCCATGCCCCAGCCAGGCGGGGAGGCTGAGGAAGATGCTTCCCAAGGACTTGGGAGGGGGGCCCGGAGAAGGAAGGCCGAGCTGGGGTGGGCTGTGTGGTGGGAGCGGGTCATCTCTTTGTGGACACGGAAGGAACTGTCCCGTGTGAATGCTCATTGGATGCCAGGGGTTTGCCTGTGAAACTTATTTACTCTTTACAACAACCCTGCCTCTCTCTGTGACTAAGAAACCTGAGGTTTAGCCCGGCTGATGTGGCGCAGTGGTTGAGTGTTGACCTACGAACCAGGAAGTCGCAGTTCGATTCCTGGTCAGGGCATATGCCCAGGTTGTGAGCTCGATCCCCAGTGTGGGGAGTACAGGAGGCAGCTGATCGATGATTCTCTCTCATCAGTGATATTTCTTTCTTTTTTGTTAAAAAATATATTTTTAATGATTTCAGAGAGGAAGGAAGAGGGGGGGTGGTTCAGAAACGTAAATAACACATCAAAGATCACACAGATAGGAAGGATCAAAGATGGAATGCGAGTCAAGGTCTGTTTGGCCCCAAGATCACACTCTTTCCACTGCATCACATTGGCCTCCAAACTTGCAGAGGCAAGTTCCTCTGTCCTTGCTTCCCCTTGTTGCCACTCCCGGGCTTTCTGTCTTTCCAGGAGCAAAGGATTACCCAACTGACAGTTAGGGAGCGGCTCTGTGACAGGGTCCAGCTTGTGTGCACTTGAATAACCTTCACAGCCCCAACTTGTGGAGCTGGTCTCCAAGCAACACTCTGTTCCGTGGAATTTCACCCACACGAACGCACTGAGAGTGTTCCCTGCCGGTTGCAATTTCCCTGCAGGGATGGGGCGGGGCTGCTGCTCCTCATTGCCTGTTGTAACAGCAAGCAGCCAGTGAGGCTACAGAAGGAATTACTAGCTGACCCGGTACCCCCAACTATTAGAAACCAGGTCATCTGTCAGGGAAGGTTTTTGTCTTCCTGGGATCCAGGCTTGCGTAACCAACTTGATACTGGTCATGTCCACTAGGCTGCCCCACATACCTCAAACCAAATCTGTGAGAAACAGAACTCCCGTTCTCCCCCGTAAGCCTGCTCCTCCTCTGGTATTTCCCATCATCCAGTGGCTCCATCGGAAATCATCCTTGGCTGCTCTCTTTCTTTCATGTCCTACTCCTAGTCAACCAGCAGGTTCGGTTGCTCAACCCTGGGCATCAATCCCAAACGCAGTTACCTCTCACTCCTCCTCTGCCTCCACCCAGCCTGGGCCACGGTGTGCTCCACACGGACCTTTGCAATAACCTTCCTAATGGGGTTAGCATGATCCCCTAAACCAGTGGCTGGCAAACTGCGGCTCGAGAGCCACATGCGGCTCTTTGGCCCCTTGAGTGTGGCTTTTCCACAAAATACCACGTGCGGGCGCGCACGTACAGTGCAAAGTTGACTTAAAACTTCAAGTAAAGTTTATTAAGTTAATTTTAGGGAACGTTGTGGAGTGAAAGAAGATGTAGTGTCGAGGATTGAGAAAGGTATGTTGAGATGGTTTGGACATATAGAGAGGATGAACGAAAGGAGATAGACGAAACAAATATACAAGACGAGTGTGGATGGGAGAGTTGGAAGGGGTCGACCTCAGCGAACGTGCCTCAATCAGATGGAGGACGTTTTTAGCAAAGGCCAGCTTAGGAGTACCCTAATTAAGTTAATAACAATGTACCCACCTATATAGTTTAAGTTTAAAAAATTTGGCTCTCAAAAGAAATTTCAATCGTTGTACTGTTGATATTTGGCTGTTGACTAACGAGTTTGCCAACCACTGCCCTAAACAGTAAACCAGGTTGCGCCCTCTTCTGCTTGCAACCCTCCATGACTTCCCATCACACCTGGGATAACACCCGCAGTCCCACCCCCGGGAGGACTTCATGGCACTTATGTTCTGGCCTCTTCCTATCTCCAGGCCTCATTTCCTACCACTTCCTCTGACATTGACGGCCAGGACTCCTTGTGCTCCTTGCCCATGCAAAGCACCGTCCTGTCTCAGACCTCTGCTCTCTCTCCCACCTGCCCGCATGGCTCAGCCCCTCATTAATTCAGGTCTCTTCTGAGATGTCACCTCCTGAAACAGGTCTTCCCTGGCCACACCGTATAACCCGCAGTCCCCTTACTCTGCTCTGGTTTTTCTTCATAGGGTTTATGACGGACATTATTATATGTTCATTTGTTTATCTGTGTTTTTTTTTTTTATATTTGACTCTCCCACTTGACTATAAGCTCCAGGAGATCATGGACTTGTCTATTGTGTTCACCTGGTGCCTGGAACAGTAAGGGCCTGAGAAATATTTGTTCAATGAAGGAATAAGTGAATTAATAAACAAATGAATGAATACAGACTTCATTTTCTTCGGGGTGGGGTGGGGAATCCAGGGTTCTGATGTTATGAATTCATTCCCCATCAATGCCCCTCTCCATCTGCAAGTGACATGTTTGTCTTGGAAATAACTTTTATTTCCCCCAAACTACAGAGATTTAAAGTTCATTATCGTTGCATTGTACTGTTCTCACAGCACTGACATTTATACCTACCAGTGTTGCTAAAGTTTCAACTGCTGATGGACTTTTATTTTTGTTAGGAAGACATGGAACGTAAAGATTAAGCATACAATTGGTATCTGCCATTAGTTCGGTGAGATTTTATGTCCTAAAGCAGATGTTTATCATACCTGCGATTACATTTTTCCTTCATGGCAAGTTTTTAGGATCTAAAAACACATCTTTGGGAAAAGGGAGCCTTTTGTTTATTTTCATGGTGGGACCTAGTGCTTGTTTGAGGAGCTACTGGTGGGACTTGAGATGGGAAAGATTGAGGACAGCGGTCAGAGCCTCTGAGAGGTGAGAAACTCAACCGGGCCAGGCAGTTCGCGCTGAGAAAACCCTGCGTGATCACAGATATTCCTCTTCCCCCACGACTCCTTTTTCTCAACACCCCTCCCTTTCCTCTCAGAGCGAGCTTCTCTGAGCCTCAAGTTTGGTGGTTTCAGTGGACCTGAGCCTGGTTGTAAGGGGAGGCAGCTGCCGGGGTGGAGGCCCCCCAGGGTAGGCCAGGGCCCTCAGGATTTCAGGGAAGGGTGAGCCACCCTGAGCCACTCACCTGTCCAGCCTGCTGGGAGTTCCCTGCAGAGTGCTGGGCTCCGAAGTCCCCCCTCCGAGTTCTGAAAGGGTCGGGGTGATGGCATCCATGGTCCCAGGAGCCTCTCTGGCTTCGGCTTCTCCTAAGCCTTCTCTCAGTCAAAACCAGCTGCCGGCATATGTGCCACTTTTCCTGAGTGGCTGACTCCCAGGAGAAAAGGCAAAATTAGTTAGTATTTTACATACAATCGGGGGGGGGGGGGGGGGGGGGGGGGGGGGGGAGGAAGTCATTTGGTTTTTAAAGTTCCATCTTCCTCCTCCTCCCCCCATCTATGCCTAAAATGTCAGGCTGAGTTGACCCCAAATACAAAAAGACAGGTTTGGTTCTACCTGGATGTGCCTACCTTGCCCACTGCAGGAGGGCAGAGCTCATCTGGGCGTGGGGCTCCCTGAGGGGCAGCACAGTCTCTGCCCGCTGGTGGGAGTGTGAGGGGCACCGAGGTGGAAGCTGCCAGGAGGCCCAGAGAGGCTCTGCGAGAGGCGCATCTTCCCCAACCCCCAGAGCAGAGAGGAGAGAGCAAACACTTGGCCAGAATGGAAACAGAGAGTCAGAGACAGGAAGCGACACCACCAACCTGCTCACGAAGCATGGGCACCGGAAAAGTGCTCAGCTCTCAGGCGATGGCAGAGAACACCCGCACCCACCGCTGCTGGGTGGCAGGTGCTCCGTGGTCTGGGGGAGAGGGATGACAGAGGGGCCAGGTGGCCGGTGGGTGATCGCTCACCCTGGGTTTCTGAGGCCTGTCGTGTTTCCTCAGCCCCCAGGTTCATAGCAGTGTTTGCGGGTCTAGGAGAACTGGAGGGTGCTTTTTAGGCCCAAATGCGGATCGCTGGCACCTGATACTGAATCGTGGGCGGAGGGTGGAAAGGTTGTCGTCATAAACGCTACCAGATGATTTTGATGGAGCTGATCTGTGTTTCAGGATTTTGAGAGCCTTTGTTCTGGGTGTGACCAGCATGGAGCTTAGGCTGGGTTTGCAGGACCCCTGGAGTCCACTCTGTCCGCCCTCAGCGCCCCCACCCTGCTGGCTGTCTCGCTCACAGGGCTCTCTGGAGGATGGATCCAGCCCTTTGCACACCTGTCTCAGAAGTCAAATCGTTTAGCCCCAGTGTCCCAGCTTAGAGGATTGCTCCCCATTTGTTTCTCACTCTCTTACCCTCTTCCTCTGACGAATCTCCTGAAACCCTCTTTGCATCTTGGGAGAACCTGAAGACAAGGGGTCACTAAGGCTGTTATGAGGGTGTGAGGAAGAGCCTCTGACCTCACTCTCCACCAGGAAAGCGATTCAGATAAATGGCAGGGAAGGCAGCCAGCGCTGAGCACCATGTCTCTCTCCCACCTCTTCCTGAGCTGCCAGCCCCTGCCCTGGCCAAGCTCTCACAGCCGCCCTTCACCCACCAGTGAGGGCCCCCTGTGGCTCGCCCCTCCCCCTCCCCCAAGCTCTGCCACTCCACATCCTCACTGCCCCTCCCCACTTCCCTCCTCCTGCCCAGGCAGCCTTACCTGGCAGGAAGCAGAGATGGCTCAGAGGCAGCTGGTTCTAGAGCTGGAATCTGGGTCTCTGTCCATTTCTGCTTTGGGTCGGAACTTAGTAAGAAGGAGGACTCCTCATGGGAAAGAGGTCCATGGCTCTGCTCTGGTTGGTGGCCGGGACTATTGCAGGAGAGGCTCACTCCCTGGCCTGTCCTGAGCCACTGGCGCGAAGAGGGACTGTGAGTGAACCGGGAATTTGGAAGATGATACAGGGGAAGGGCAGCTAGAACCAAACCTTAGAACCCTGACTACTACTTTAAAAAAACTTTTTTTTTAAACTTCCTCCTGCATGTGATAATCTCTTATCTACTCAGCCTGCTTGAGTCAGACTCATCTTTTTTTTTCTTTCTTCACGTGCTCTTGACTGGAATTGAACCCGGGACCCTTCTGTCTGCAGGCCAAGGCTCTATCCCCTGAGCCAAACTGGCTAGGGCCAGACTCGTCTTGCCTCTGGTCTTCTGGTTCTCTCCTGCCCACACTGGAGGGAGCAGCCTCCTCAAAGGAGGCTCCCTGGAAACGATGGACCTCAGGTTTCCAGGCCCTGGCTGCGCTCTTTCACCTGCTCTTCTTCCCCTCCGCATGGCACACAAACCAACTAAACCAACACTTAAAGCACAAAATAGGCGTCTGAACTTATTCATCATAATAGTGGAAGAAACTACTCATTCCTGGGAAATAGTAGATGTTTTAAACCTGATTGCTCTAATGTTTCCCTATAGTCACTTTTAATGATTTCAGGGGTTGAATGTGACATATGATGCTAAAGTTTTTTTTTTTTAAATATATTTTTTATTGATTTTTTACAGAGAGGAAGGGAGAGGGATAGAGAGTTAGAAACATCGATGAGAGAGAAACATTGATCAGTTGCCTCCTGCATGTCCCCTCCTGGGGATGTGCCCGCAACCAAGGTACATGCCCTTGACCGGAATCGAACCTGGGACCCTTCAGTCCACAGGCCGACGCTCTATCCACTGAGCCAAACCGGTCAGGGCTATGCTAAAGTTTTGTGAAAGAAAAAACCATAGGCCCAGAATGGTGTCGCCTGTGCTAAAGCCCTAGATTTAATATGTGACTTAATTGAAGTTTCAGCTTCTCCCAGAAATATAATCGTTTTAAATAAATCTTTATTGTTGAGAGTATTACAGATATCCCCCTTTTTTTCCTCCATTGCCCCACTCCCCGCATGTTCCCACCCTGCCCCAGGCCTTCACCATCCTATTGTTGGTGTCCATAGGCAATGCATATAAATTCTTTGGTTATTCTCTTCCCAAACCCCTCCCCCACTTCCCTCTGAGATTCATCAGTCTGTTCCATGTTTCCATGCCACTGGTTCTATTTTATTCATCAGTTTATTTTGTTCATCAGATTTCTTATTCATTTATTTTAATTTTTAGATTCAATTTTTGATAGATATGTATTTATTGCCATTTTATTGTTCATATTTTAATTTCTTCTTTCTCTCCTCCTCTTCCTTCAAGATTACTTTTAACATTTTATGTAATACTGGCTTGGTAGTAATGAACTCCTTTAGCTCTTTTCTGACCTTCAATTCTAAGTGATAGTTTGCTGGGTAGGGTAATCTAGATTGTAGGTCATTGCTATTCATCACTTTGAATATTTCTTGCCACTTTCTTCTGGTCTGCAAAGTTCCTGTTGAGAAATCAGCTGACAGTGGTATGGGTACTCCCTTGTAGGTAGGTAGGTAACTGCTTTTCTCTTGCTGCTTTGAAGATTCTCTCTTTGTCTTTAACCTTTGGCATTTTAATTATAATGTGTCTTGGTGTGGGCCTCTTTGGGTTCGTCTTGTTTGAGACTATGTGTGCTTCTTGGACTTGTAAGTCTATTACTTTCACCAGGTAGGGGAAGTTTTCTGTCATTATTTCTTCAAATAGGTTTTTCAATATCTTGCTCTCTCTTCTCTTTCTGCCCCCCTCCCCCATGATGTGAATATTGGTTTGCTCGAAGTTGTCCCAGAGGCTCCTTACACTATCTTCATATTTTTGGATCCTTTTTTCTTTTTGCTGTTCTGATTGGGTGTTTTTTGCTTTATCATATTCCAAATTGCTGATTTGATTCTTGGCATCCTCTACTCTACTGTTGATTCCTTGTAAATTATTCTTCATTTCAGTTAGTGTATCCTTCATTTCTGACAGTCCTTTTTCATGTATTTGATGTTCTCATTAATTTCCTTAAAATTCCCACTAAGTCCATTGAAACTCTCTTTAAGGTCCTTGAGCATCCTTATAACCATTGTTTTGAACTCTGTATTTTTTAGTTTGCTTGCTTCATTGAATTTAGTTCTTTTTCTGGAGATTTCTCCTGTTCTTTCATTTGTGACATGTTCCTTCGTCTTCCCATTTTGGCTGCTTCCCTGTGTTTATTTCTATGTGTTAGGTAGAGCTGCTATGTCCCCTGGATTTTGTATAGTGGCATGAATTATAGTCCTGTAGGGCCCTGAGCTGTGCACTCTAGGTGCACCTCTGTGTGGACACTGTCTTGTTGTAGTTGAGCCTTGATTGCTATTGGTCACTGGGAGGAATTGACCTCTAGGCCAATCAGCTGTGAGGACCAGCTGCGACTACAGCAGAAGAGCTGCTGTGCAGGAGATACCCCTATGGAGCAGGACTCGCTTCATTGGGGCTTTGGAGCTCTCTGAATCTGTCCCTTGAGTGTGTTGCTTGTGAATGTGTAGAGTTGTAATCTGGTGTGGTTTGAAGCTGTCCACTGGGTGCACTAGCTCTGGTTCCCCGCCAGAGGTACAAAGTCAGCCACTGCCTGTGCCCTATCTGGGGCCACCCATCAAGAGCTACAGAGCAATCTGAAGATGGCTGTGTTGGGCTTGGAAGTGCCAAGGAAAGGCCAAGCTGTGAAGCAAGGCAGGCTGCTGCTAGTGCCGGGCCTGGGGCCTCTTATTGATAGATATGAGGCGTGCTGATGCCAACTGCTGTTTGTTTGAGAGATTTCAGAAAAGTCTGAAGCCTGAGGCAGGACAAACCATTCAAATGGAAAAGCTGCTGCAAACAGCTTGGGTGGGACTGCAAATTGAGTGGGGTGGGTCTCAGGGAATCACCAGGGTGGAGCAAACAGTGTGAGCCAGTTTGATGGAGACTCAGATATGGCACCTGCCAGTCAGCTCTGCAATGGGGGAGGGCTCAGCATAGGAACAATGACCCCTGTCTGAGAGAAAGCTGACCCCAAGTTCTTGCCCCAATGCCAGCCAATCCAGTTCCTCCCCACATGTCCTTGGCTCCCCCCAAGCTGATGCCCCAGTGTAGGAGCTCAGAGGGAGCAAGTTTGAGTAAGTCCATGGGCTGGCCCTTTAAGAGGAACTGCCGGGTCTCTAGCAGCCTCTGTGTCACTCAGCCACAATCCCTGCTGGCTTTTATAGCCTAAAGTTTCAGGGTGTTCTTTTCACAGCACTGGAACCCTGGGCTTAGGGATCTGGTGTGGGGCTGGAACCCATTGCTCCTCATGGGAGGCCTCTACAGCCTAGATATCTCTCCTGATTAAACAAATGCTACATGTGGGGTTGGACCAGCCCTTTCTGCTCCTCTGCCCCTCCTACCAGTCTCCATGTGCTTTCTTTGTTACTTCTCTAGCTGTAGGACTTTCTTTCAGCCAGATTTCAGGTGGTTTTGAATGATGGTTGTTCTGTATTTTAGTTGTAATTGTGATGTGGGAGGTGGTGAGTACCACATTAACTATGCTGCCGTCTTGGTTCCAGAAATGTAATCTTAATCAACCAGTCTGGAATATTCTAGCCAAGCACCTGTCTCTATCCTCTGCCCCCCTCGCAAAGGAAGAAGAGACAATCTGCATCATAAAATCCTTGCCTTTTCCTTCCCTCCACTCCCAAAAGATGTCCCGGTTTAGAAGTAATTATTATTATTATTATTTTTTTCCCACTAAAAACACCCCTGCCCTGCCCTTTTTCCTATAAAAATCTTCCAATT